GGGTCTTGCCTCTAGCCTCTTTGCAGGGAGTTCTGCTGAAGGGTTCCCTGCTGGGCCTGCAGTCTGGGTCTGTTCAGGATCCCGCAGGTCCTCGGCCGTCTCACTCACTCACCAGGCCTGCGCTCTCAGGCTTAAGGATCTTGATAAGGAGTTTGGGTTTCACCCGATACAGAAGTTACATTTCTTGTTATATTGGTCTTGCTTTATCTTAGTCTTAACCATTCAGCAGAAAAGTATAAAAACGAGGTATAAAAAGTAAAGCCATATTAATATGCCGAGCTGTAAAAGGCTCGAGTCAACAACTTCTGACATTGGCAATCCTGTGGATAACCCATCACTATTATGGACTACTGGACTATATTGGATTACTTTGCTGAATGAATGGCAATGGAATACCCCATCTCTGACAAAAGTAAACAAAAAAGGGGGATATAAATGAAGGTCCATTTTGTAGTGGAAAAAAAAATATATATATATATACAAAATAGCATAGATATACAGCTACTTTCTCTAATGAGGAGAAAGTTTTGAACTATTAGTGGTTAGACAAGATATCATGTCTGCATCTTGTACTATAACTACTACAAAGATAACAATATGCAATGTATTAATTATTGTAACTGTCCTACTAAGCTGTTTTGAACCTGTCCCATTGCTACTTCTTTCTCAACAAAATTAATATTTATAAAAAATAAAAGGAGTTTGGACTTCAGTTGAACATGTTTGTACCTACCTGTAACCCTGGCTACTCCAGAGGCTGAGCAAGGAGGATCCCAAGTTTCATGCCAGCCCAGGCAGTTTAGCAAGATTCTGTCTCAAAATAAAAATAGCTGGGGATGTAGCTCAGGGGTAAAGCTATTTGCCTAGTATTTTCAAACTCCTGAGTCTAATCTTAGTATTCTGCAAATTAAGAAAGAAAAGAAGGGGTGAGGGCAGTTAGTCTGACTTTAAAACTTGTTAATCAAGTTCTCAGTCAACTTGTCAAGATTTTTTGAGTAGAAGAAAAAGACCAGATATACATTTTTTTTTTTTATCATTGATGTATTTGGTATAGGGCCTCACTATAGAGCTCAGATTCATAGTGATCCTCCTGTCTCAGCCTCCCCAGCCCTAGGATTATAGGCATGTGCCACCACCCCTGGACTCAGTCACCAGCTCAGCACACTCCAGGCATGGGGCTGGCACAGCATGAGGGACCAGGAATCAAACCTTGGTCCCTGCACTTGCCAAAGCAGGCGCTTAGAGCACTGAGCTATCTTGCCAGCTTCAGATATACATATTTTTAAATGCCACTGTATTTTGGAAAAGCAGGATGTACTACACAAAACAAGAGTGGAGGGCTGGTGAGATGGCTCAGTGGTCTAAAGCACCTACTTAGAACAAGCTTAGCAAAGCACAGAGACTGCGGTTCAATCCCCCAGCACCACATGCCAGCCAGCCCTGCCCCCTGGTGGGCTGAGCTGGCCACACACACACACACACACACACACACACATACAATAAATAAATAAATAAAAATTTAAAAAAAAAGAGTGGAAGAGACAGGTTCTCACTGTGCAGTTCAGGCTAGACTTGAACTCGCTGCATAACCCAGGCTGGACTCAGCCTCTTGAGTGCTGGGATCACAGGCCTATGGTATCACTCATAGCTAAGACTGGAAGTCATTTAATCCAGCTATTATAATATAACTCAGTAAATCACATTGAGGGAGGAAGGAAATAAGGCTCTGACCGTGGAAATCAGAAGTTTCTGAGATACACTGCAGTTAGCTGCCATAGGACATGCTAAGCAAGCAGGTAAGAGAAGCGCTTTCAGTCTCGCTACTTGTCTCTTCTTAGACTGGTCACAAAACTCTGGTAGAGCTACTGGAATTCCCAGCCTGGACAACGAGGGGTGGAAAGTTTGAGGCATTGATGTCAGGATAGAGGAGAGTATTGGCTCAGGTTTGGCCATGTAAACTGTGAGGGACCTGGAATTCAACCAGTAGAATTATATCTCTGATGCTCAGGAGAGAAGTTTTTATGGAAGGTTTTTATTTT